TGCATGAATCTCTGGCAAATCAAGTGATACATGAAGAAATTCTTTGCCAAGTAAGATTATCTGCCACACTGCAGAAATCTAGCATCTCTGGCTCCTGTCCACTAAATGCCAATAGCACCCTGCCAAATCTTTATGACTACTATTAATGTCTCCTCATATTGACAAAATGTACCCTATGGTTCACTTCATCCCCTGTTGAAAAACACTGGCTTAGTTCAAGTAACAGGAAAAGAGGAAACTGGTTTTAGTTGCATATATGCTATAATTTTGGGAAAGAAAATAAGGAAAATATCCTGTATGGGGAATGGCCATTGGAACATTCATGAATATAAAACTTTCCAAAGTTTTTCTCAGTTGACAGAATTTTGTTTCTCCAAACTATGTTGGAAAATGTGAATAGGCTCTCTGATAAAACACATGTGGTCATAATGACTTCATGCTAATATATGCAGTTCAAGTACAGAACTGTTAACAGCTAGGAAACCATCCAGACAGGTAGAGTTTAGGGAAACTGGAGTAGTGACAAGAAATAACAAATTCATTTTTAATTCTTTTCTAAGTATAAATATAAATTTATAAATCTCTTTTAATTTTATTTTTGCTTTTCTTTCTTTTTATTTACTTATTTTTTAAGTTACAGTTTACTATAAATCTCTTTATGCTATGTTTACATAATTGGCCCGTAACACCGATAAGAAATTACATTTTATCTCTGAGGAAAAAATATAGCTGAATGTTTGCACTCCTACAGCTACTTGACTCATTATGTGATACATTTCTTGTCTTTTGATTTATTAAAACAGTTACTTTCATTGTTGTTTGTATTTAAATATTATTTATAATTCTAAGATGAAGTCATTTTCTAATATAAATTAGAAGATGTTTTATCATTATTCCTTGAAACAGGAATTGTTTATTCATAGTACCTCACTTGTTTCTGTACATAGTAGATGCTTATTTAAATATTTTTTTAATTAACTTATTCATTCAGTAATCATTATCATTAATATATTTTATCATTGTGTACAATGATGTACTTTCATGTGTTATTTTTATTTCTCATGCCCTCATTATCATGAAATATTAAGTGTGAATCTTTTACTCAAAGTAGGATCTGAATTAAGTGATTTCTTTTAAATCATACTGCTGGCATAACTAGGAGAAGCATTTAGGTCTCCTGGCTTTAATTGTACTATTTCTACCAGTAAATTTATTTTCTCCCATAGATGTGTATGTTTTCTGTTTCTATCGCTTGGCTGTTTCCAAGTGTTTAAACAATAGTTGTCAAAACAAAACAAAAAGCAATACAAAAATCGTCTAAAATCAACATTTAAAAACAGTGATTAACTTCCCAGCATTTATTACCTACTAGCCTTGACCCCTAGAAATCCAAAATAGGGTATCAAACATTTTGATGACAAAATTTGTCTGGTGGGAAATCTGGCTCTCTTAAAAGCAAGTTTCTTTACTTCATGTGTGCAAGCTGTGGAACAGGTGCAACAACAACATAGTAATTGTTCAGAGATTAGAACTGTGTAACTATGGAGACATTACCTCACGGTGTTCTAACCAGCAGCCTCAGCCAGATACAAAAGTTTTAGTCATAAAGATAGCTGTGCTGGGTAACCACCCTGCCTCTTGAGCTGCTTCCAGTGAATGCTTCACACCTCCACCTTGATTTGTCTAACAGTCTTAGCCATTATCAATATTGGGTATGTCAGAACTTACATATTCCCATTAGAATCCTGGTCCTGGCATCAGCTTGATAAAGAAATCATTAAACCTGGAAAGTGCTTTAAGATAGATTAACAGGTGAGGCCACTTGAAAAAGAAAATCTGGTTTGAACCTCAGCTGTATGCATTGTCTAATGTCATGATCTATTTTCCCAGGAAAGAAAGAGACTTTTCTTCTAGCCAAGATGAAAGACATACAAGCCACTCAGGACACATGGGCAGCTCTGCAGAGTCAAGTCCCGAAGCAGAAGAAGAAGATGGAGAAACAAACTCCGTAAGAATGGCACAAATATGAGTGGAAAGAAGGGCTTGAGCTGTTTTGTTTTGTTTTTTTTTTAAAGACTTTATTTATTTATTTATATTTAGAGAAGGAGCAGAGGGAGAGAAACATCAGTGTGGGAGAAGTACACCCATTGGTTGCCTCTTGCACGCACCCAACTGGGCACCTGGCTCACAACTCAGACATGTGTCCTGACTGGGAATCAAGCTAGTGACCTTTTGGTTCTCGGGCTGGCACCCAGTCCACTGAGCCACACCAGCCAGGGAAGGCCTGAGTTTTAAAGGATAATGATGGAGTGTTTGACCTCTCATTTCATAATGTCTAGTAAAGTGGAACTAGAATTAATTCCACACATTTTCTAAAATTAACTGTAGCATACAACTATTTCCCAACCTCTGTTTTATAAGGTTAAGTCCTTGAGTAATATAAAAAATGCAACTAGAAAGATCTCCAACAGCAGGCCTGGTTGAGGATCCAAAGCTCATATCTAACATGTTAAGGCAACTGGCAAATAATATTCTTAGGACCACTTTACTGACATGGGGACAGAGAATCGCTAAATAATTTTGGTTTAGGAAATGTCTGTGAGGGTAATAAATAAAAACTACAACTCACTATTTTTACTACCAATGTAAATCTTTCTCTCAACTAAAGCATTAGCATTGGTTTTTAAAATAAAAAAAAAAGACCTATTATGTTGAATGTACTCAATTTAAAGCTAATGTTACTTTGGACCTAGATGTCCTGTTTTTATTGTTCAGTTCAAGTCCATTTTTAAAATATGTTGCCAGTACTACCAGTGCAAGATCTCCCAAAATAACATTGAAATGCTGTAATTGAACTTTCATAACTGCCTCTGGTTTCATGCTAATCAACTACAGAGGGAGCAAAATACCAAGAAGGGCCTTGGAAAATTCCATATGCTAAGCACTAGAGAAAGCTAACGAAGCTCTAGGACAAGCCTCTTGTCCAAAAGAAGTCTAATAGGCCTATGAATACAGGGTTTTCAGACAATAGGCTGCGTCATGTACGTCTCTGCCTGAAATATTTCAGCTCTTCCAAAGATGTGTGCAGCCATTAGAAGTTTCTTATTCACATACAAAAATAAAAACACTCTGTGCTCCTAAGCCAGATTTATTTGATTACAACATTTCCCAGGCTTATTGGGAATCTTTTGTGGAATTAAATTTATTTGGGAATGCTATTGTTTCACTGGAGGAAGAAAAAAATTCAGAGCTTATAAAATGAACATGCTGAAAGATACAGCCAGTTTGTCTGTAATGAAACCCAGATGTAAGGAACTTTGAAAGAGAAAAGTACTTTTCCTGCTTATTACAGCCAGTGTCAGGGAGACATCACATCATAAGAGCTTGTCTCAGGTTGGACAGAAGTAAAATATTTGTAATTTGACAATCAAGTCCTGTAGTCTCTGTCCCGCTACCAACAAAGTGACACTTGAGTGTATCTTCAATGGTTTGAGCTTTTCAGAAAAAAAGAAACACTTAGAGTGTTAACAGAATGACAATGCTCAAGCCTAGTAAGTATAGGCCAGTAATGATGCAATTTTCAAAGCCAATGCCATTCAATTATAAAAAATAAGTTGCCTGAAATGTCTGTGCCTTCAGAAAGGTACATTTAGAGAAGTCTGGTTTTGAGTCAAAACTCTCCAGAATAACATTTCTGATGAAGGAACTTACAAATTATAATGCAAAAGGATTGTGAATACCCCTTTATAAACAGAGAGATTGAAACTCATTAGGAAGCTCTAGACACCTGTTCCATTAAGGAAACATTTGTGAGGAAAAAAAAAAACAGTAGAAAACTGGCTAAAATACCTTTATAGGAAACTCTGGAAAACAAACAGATCAAAATAGAGACAGTCTATGGAGGTAAAATACCTAGTTCCTAATTATACTGCATATGTGACCGCAGAAACGTAGTGCTTAATTAAGCTGGCTGGTCATTTATCCAGTGTCTCAGAGATTTAAAAGATTTTGGACCCAAGAACTTCAATCACAACTCAAGCATTAAACACATACACACACAGACACACATACGCATGTACACCAATTGCTCTTAGTTTATTGAGAAAAGCCTCAGTGTGACTCATAAAATGGAGTTGTCATAAGCCTTTTCATAAGTAATGCCATGATAATATTGTTTTACTTGTAAAATAATTGTACTGTAGCTTAGGGACTTTTAAAAAATGTGCATTAGTTAACAATGCTTTTATATTTATGAAAAAGATAGGAAAGTCTTTGTTCATAGTAGGGTATGCTTATAAAAATAGTACCTGGAAATGAAATCTTTCTTCTCCTACTATTTCCTTCAACATTCACACACTTTCACACTCATACATGCAAGTACACATGTATATACACATATATAGGTTATTCGCAGTATATTTGAAAGCAGACATTAACTCTAGGACCTTCATGAATATAGAAAATTAATTCAGCAGCAGAAGTTAAAGGAGAAAGGTATAGTAAACAATATATTTTATGTCAATAGAAAGGTGAAATATGATACAATGAGTGATAATGTGGCATATAAATGGTTTATAGAATCTTAGTTTTGTGTAAAAATGCATTAAAAGAGTGAAAAATGGTACAAATTTGGGTTGATTTTTATTTTATTTCCACTTTTACACTTTTTCAAAGTCATCTATAATGGAAATTTATTGATCTTTAAATTTAAATTTAAAAAAGCATGCTTTAACTTGATACTAAAGTGTTGTGTTTAGATTGCTAGAACTAGAAATATAAGATGTTCTTGTGCTTATGAAAGATGTGTAATACCTTTGAAAAGCAGAACTCTGGGTAGTAATAATAGTTCATGCTTCTTGTGTTCATAGTCTATTCATTTTGACTTTCTTACTTTGTTTACACTGATTTTTGTACCCAGAAGAGAAGATATACATGTTGATCTTTCAAGGCCGCAGCAATCTTTAGTACATTTTTTCCAAAGTGTTGCATATACAAGCAGCATGACATTGCCATTGTCGCAGTCATCATCCGGTGAAGTACCTCCCAGTTTCAATCTGTCTAGCTCTCAGATTAGTGGAGTGACTATGTCAACAATTGCACCAAAGTCTTCTAAATCTAGTATATTGAGCCATCTCCAATCAGGAAGCAACTTAGGTAAGAAAAACATGTGATGATTTTGTAGATTATTTTTATTTTATTATTTTTTTAATTTTATTGAATTTATTGAGGTGACATTGGTTAATAAAATTATATAGGTTTAACATATATAATTCTATAACATATAATCTGTATATTGTATTGTGTGTTCACCACTCCAAGTCAAGTCTCCTTCTGTCACCTTTTATCCCCTGCTTTATCCTCTTCTGCTTTCTCCCAACCCCTTTCTCTCTGGTAATGACCATACTGTTTTTAAATTATATAGTTCGAAAAAATTCTCTATGTGTCTAGAAGCCAGAATAATGTTGTATTGTTTGTGTTCAATAATACTAATTTCTTAACATCATGTGCTGAGTAACTTGACTATGCTCACTATCGATCCTAGCACTGGAGTTGTATCCTGGTTACATAAATGTATGTGGCTAAGTATATCATCCCAGTGATTAAAATATCTTGAGTTATCATAATGGTTCATGGGTTGACTGCTTAAATGTTCTAGAACTGCTAGATAATTTAAAAATTTTAATGTATTACATTAACTGTCCTTCCTTTTAATGCTACCAGAAAGATTAAGCAATGCCTTTTGTACTTTGTGCCTTTGGGAGATTTAGGCCTTTGGTAAGGAAAAGACAGGTTGTTATAAGAAAGAGAAGAAAACTAAAGTACCTAAAATGATGGAGAGAAAAGGGAGAAAGAATAAATAATTTGTAGGAGAGGAAAATAAAAACAGTACCATAGTAGGAAGAAATAAAATTTTAACAATTGCCAACAACACACTCAGCAACACCCAAGCTACAGAGTGTTTATTCTTCATTATGGGTGGGGAGCTTTGAGGGTATGTTATCATGGTTTACTGGAAAGACCACTCCCTACAGTGTGAGATATTAGGTAAGGTATTTAGCATCTCTGAGGCCCATATTCCACATCTGCAAAATGGGGATTAAAATATTGATTTCACAGGGCTATCCTAAGGATTAAATAAGATATTTATGAAAATCGCCAAGCACATGGTATGTAGTCAATAAAAATTAGTTGTGAATCTGAACATATCTGTAATCACTTTCTCATAGAATGGGCTAGATTGGGGTCTGTGTATCACTTACTAGTCAACTAACAAGTTTCAAAACTGGTAGCACAAACACATTCATGACTCCCTGATACCTCCATTTTCCTCTACCGTGCTGTGGACATTTATAGCCTGGTTGCTTCTTATCTACATTTGGTTTATTTTTGGTATTTTCCTAAGCCTTTGACACAGTGTTATCTAGGATTTTGACCTACTGCAATTATTGTCATATTTCCTATGTTCATTGTTTGTGTATCTAAGACACATTTTCCAAAGAAGCCTCCTAAATTCACACTGACCTTTAAAAATGACCAAATCCATATGCTTAAATGTGAAAATAGAGATTTTAGACATAGGGAGGCAATATTTTCTATCCTTTAGCACTCTTTCATCATGGCATATGTTCTATGTTTGGGTTAAACTGTGAAAGCTCCTAATATTAGTGAGGGAAAAAAACAAAATATAGTGGCTTCCCCATGCAAGATGAGAGCTGAGTTAGGATGTAGTCTTCTTCAGTGACTATAGATTCTGCTTCTGTTGACAGATGTCTGAGTGGGCTGTGACTTGTTGCATTTGGTTCATTTCCATCTGTTCCTCTGGATGAAATAATGGCTGGGAGTAAAATTAATGTCTTTTTTCCTTTTACAATATAAAGGTTTTCATCCTCAGGATAAGCTATGAAAAGAGCTTGTGTATATTCCCCATCCCCAAAGTAAATAAAGGATTAAGTAAATACTCACTTGGCTGGGAATAAATTAATTTAATTTCAAACATTTCTTCTAAACAAAATACTTTGAGGCATCCTCCTTAGGAACTCTCAGTTTATTCCTTCCCAGCTTTTACCTCACTTTGGTTTTTGTTAAAAACACACAAATATAAAGCAAACTCCAGATTGTGATAATCCTTGAAAAATTTTGGAACCAGGGTCACAAAAATAACTATCATTTATTGAGTACCTGCTAAATACCAGATGCTGCTAGACACTTACCTACACTACCTTCAGTCCTCAAGTCACCTTAACAAGGTAGTATTGTTTTTATTTTATGTTTAGGAAAACAGAATTAGAAAGGGTAAATCAGTTGGCTTAGTAAGTGACAGAGATGGGAAATAACTGCAGGTCTGCCTAACTCCAAGACATGTTGCTCTATCCACTGTATCACGAGGCCTCTCTATAGTGTTACTTTCTCTTTGCGCTTACATTATTAGATTTATCCAGCATCGTTCTTTCTATGCAAGATCATGAAACCTATTTTGTGTTTGCACATTCCTAGTGAGAATTTTAAAGGAGCAGATTTCCAAGAGGATACTAGAATCTGATTAAGCATTACTTTATCTTTCTGATAAAGTATTTCAGTTGATAAGAGGAAACTTAAGTCTTTACCTGGCAAAAGTACTAACCATTGTTAGGAAAAGACTCATTTAAAGGTTTAATTTATGTGTATCAATTTGGGGAGAATAGCTAATACAAATAGAATAAAGTTGTACTTATATATGACATATCCAAATTTGAGATACTCAAATGTTTTAACTAGTCAAAACTTATGATGCTTCTAGTACAACTAAATAATCAGTTCAATTGTCATTATGCTAATGTATAATTGATGGTTTAAGATAACTTAAATGATCTCTAAGAACTGAGTAGCACTAAAAATAATCTCTTACTGGTTATTTTGTAGACTTTGGTTTAAAGCTTTTTACTATCTTCATTTAGTTTGACAGTAACAGTAAAATATATATAAAGAATATAGTTTTGTAGAAGCAAAGAATAAAGATAGTGGCTTTGGTTTTTTAAAAATATTTCCTTTGTTTTACTTCTTTCTTTGTTGCTTCCCTCTTTGGTTTCTTTGAAAGGAGTCAACAGGTTCATAGATCCAAAGAAAAAGTACCAGGCTCTGTCAGTCCATGCTTCTGAGCCAGGTGTGATTGGGGAAGGGGAGGATTATTTCCTGTCTTTGTTTGGTGATTCAAAGAAACATATTGCACAGTCATTCCATACCGGGAAAAGTTGGAAGCACTTTTCTGTGATTCTTGAAGAAGTGGGCCATTCTAGATCCAGGTACATACATATTCTAATTATTTAGTATCTTCTCTTGGAATGGGAGCAATAAGTCAGTAGGATGCAAAGTTCTAATCTGTTGTGCTGTTCGTAATTTCATCTAAAAAGTAGTTTAAAAATAACTGTTTAATGTTATGAACATTTAAAAGGAATCAATATAACTTACTAAGGAACCAAATAATGAATGTTAATTCTTCAAAGATGCCAGAGAAAAGAACACTACATAATCTCTACAAATAAAGTCAACTCAATTATTCAACAACTTTTTTTCATTGTTAGCAAGTCATTCTATGGACATAGTATCCTTTCTTCTTCTACTAGAATCTTGAGTTCAATATAGAAGGAGAAAGGTGGACTTTTAACTCATTGACTCATTTTTATGGTTGTTAGTATCCATAGCAAGAGAATTGATATGAAGACGGTTGATATTTGAACTACAATAAAAGCTAATTCATAATCCTGCTTTTCTTCTGTCATGAACAAGAGATTGAATTGTGAATTATAAATTGTTCGTAATACACATTTTTTTTTTCTGTAATGTCTTTGTCTACTTTGGTATCAAGGTCATGCTTGCTTCATAGAATGAGTTGGATATATTCCCTCTTGTTTTATTTCATAGAAGAGTTTGTGTAAAATTAATATTTCTTTTTTTAAATGTTTTATAGAATTCATCAGTGAAGCCTTCTGAACCTGGAGTTTCTTTGTGGGTAGGATCTTATGTACAAATTCTATTTCTTTAAAATAGATAACAGGATATTTGGGTTATTTCTTTTTGAATGTACTTGAGTAGTTGGTGTCTTTCAAGGAATTTTACCTAAGTTGTCATATTTATCATCATAAAGTTGTTCATAATTATTCCATTATTATCCTTTTACTGTCTGTAGAATCTATAGTGATATCACATTTCTTATGGCTGATACTGATTATATGTGTCTTCTCTCTTTTTCCTGATCAATAAAGTTGTCAGTTTTATGAGCTTCTCAAAGAACCAGTGTGTGCTTTTATTGATTTTCTCTATTTTTGTTTTGTTTTCAATTTCATTGATTTCCATTCTGATCTGTATTCCCTTTTATATGCCTATTTTAGGTTTCATTTGCTTTTCTTCTAGTTTCTCAAGGCAAAAACTGAGATAATTGATTTGATAACTTTTTATCTTTTAATATAAGCACTTAGTAGTACTATAAATTTCTCCTAGGTAAAGCTTTAATGGCATCCCACAAATTCTGATATGTTGTATTTTCATTTTAATTTAGTTCAGAATACTTTCTAATTTTCATTTGCATTTCTTTAATGCATATGTAATAAGAAGTGTAATAGTTTACAGATTTTTCCATTTCAGTGCCTCTCCAGATATCTTTGTCTTATTGATTTCTAATTAAATTCCATAGTGGTCAAAGAATATACTTTGTAAGACTTGAGTCCTTTTAAATATATTGAGACTTGTTTTATAGCCAGGGTATTGTCTATCCTGGTAAATGTTCTAGATGTACTCACAAAGAATGCATATTCTGTTGTTGCTGAGTGGAGAGTTTCATAAATGTCAGTCAGGTCAAATTAACTGATGGTGTTAAGTCTGTCTTTTTGCTGATTTTATATCTACTTATTCTATCAGTTATTAAGAAAAAGGTATTAAAGCCTCTGACTGTAATTTTGGATTTGTTGATTTTTCCTGACAGTTCTATCAGCTTTTGCTTCATGTATTTTGAAGCTCTGTTATTAGATGCACCAACATTTAGGATTGTTATATCCTCTTGATGAATTGATTTCTCTATCATTATGAAATCACCTTCCTTATCTCTGCCATTACTTTTGCTCAGAAATCTACTGTGTCTGATATTGATATAGCCACTCAGTTTTCGAACTACTGGTGTTGGCATGGTGTATCTCTTTATTTCATTTTATTTTATTTTATTTTATTTTATTTTATTTTATTTTATTTTAATTTTAACCTATTTGTGCCTTTATCTTTATAGTGCATATTTTGTATGTAGCCTATAGTTTGAACTTGCTCTTTTATTCAATCTGAAAATCTCTGTCTTTTAATCTGAGCATTTAAATCATTTACATTTAAAGTAATTGTTAATACTGTTAGGGTTAAGTCTACTATCTTGCTATTTGTTTTCTGTTTGTTCCAACTGTTCAGTGTTCTCTTTTTCTGTCTTCTTTTGAAATAATTATTACTAATGACTTTATCTCCACTGTTGGCTGATTAGCTTTAATTCTGTTATTAGTTATTTTTTCCAGGTTTATAGGACATACCTTGAGCCTATCACAGACTACCTTTAAGGGATATTATAACATTTGACGTAAAATATAAGAGCCTTACAACACTAAATTTTCATTTCTCTCCTCCTGGTCATTGTGCTTTTACTGTCACATATTTTACTTGTACATATATGTTATAAATCCCATACTGCATAGTTATTTTTGTTTAAATAGTCCACTTTTAAAATAAATTTAAATAATAAGAAAAATATACTTTATATTTACCCTTATATGTTTTCACTGCTTTTTAGTGCTTTTTGTTGCTTGTAAGTATGTTTTTATTAACTACAACTATCCTACTACCTGAAAAAAACTTCCTTTAACATTTCTTGTATTATGGATTTGCTTGTGATGAGTTCTTTCAGTTTTTAACAGTTTTATTGAGATATAATTGACATAAAAATTGTATATATTTAAGACATAAAACTTGATATTTTTTATTGAGATATCATCATGTAATATCATATAGTTTAAGGTAAGAACATGATGATTTGATATGCATATATATATTGTGAAAGATTTACCATAATAGGATTAGTTAACACATTCATTACCTCAAATAATTACCTTTTTTTATTTTGGTAAGAACATTTAGAATCAATTCTCTTAACAATTTGCAAGTATATAATATAGTATTGTTAACTATAGTCACCATGCTGTACATTAAATTCCCAAAACTTACTTATCTTATAACCAAATCTCTTTGTCTCCTGAGAGACATGTGACTAATAATAGTATCAGCATGAAAGGATTGTGGGTTCAGAATTGAGAATCGAAGTTTTGTTTGACAACTGAGACATTTTTTTTCCATGAACAACTTGGCTGAGAACCAAATTTTTCGAAAACAAGATGTTCAAGAAACGGGATTTGACTTTGGATAACTATAAGACACTAAAGAAGGAAATTGAAGAAGATACAAATAAATGGAAGCATATTCCACATTCATGGAAAGGAAGCATGAACATCACTAAAATGTCCATACTACCCAAGGCAATCTGTAGCTCTGGCGCAAATCCTGTCAAGATAACAACAGTCTATTTCACAGAACTAGAACAAATAATCCAAAAATTTATATGGAACCACTAAAGACATGAAATAGCCACAGCAACCTTGAGAAAGAAGAACGAAGTAGGACATATCACAATTCCTGATGTCATGCTATTTTACAAGGCTATAGTAATCAAAACAGCATGGCATTTATAGTAAAAAAAAAAAAAAAAAAGACACATAAATCAGTGGAACTTAATAGAGAGCCCAGAAATAAATCCAAACCTATATGGTCAATAATATATGACAAAGGAAGTTCAATGGGGTAAAAAGACAGTCTGTTCAATAAATAATGTTGGGAAAATTGGACAGACGCATGTAAAACATGAAACTACACCACCTTCTCATACCATATACAAAAATGACTCAAAATGGATTATAAACTTCTGTGTAAGATTCAAATCCATAATCTTCCTAGCAGAAAACATAAGAAGTAAAATCTCATACATTTCTTTCAGCAATATTTTTTTTCTGATATATCTCCTCAAGCAAGGGAAACAAACAAAAAATAAATAAACCAATGGGACTATATCAAACTAAAGAGGTTTTGCATAGCAAAGAAAACCACCAACAAAACAAAAAGACAGCCTACTGAATGGGAGCGTTTGTTCATTAATGATCCATTTGATAAAGGATTAATATCCAAATTTATAAAGAATTCATACTACTCAGCACCAGAAAAACAAACAATCCAATTTAAAAAAATGAGCAAAGGATTTGAAGAGGCACTTCTCCAAAGAGGACATACAGATAGACAATAGACATACAAAAAATGCTTAGTGTCACTAATCATTAGAGAAATGCAAATTAAAACCACAATGAAATATTACTGCACACCTGTGAGAATGACTATCATCAATTAATCGACAAATAACAAGTATTGGCAAGGATGCGGAGAGAAGGGAACTCTTGTACACTGTTGGTAGGAATGCAGATTGGTTCAGACACTACTGAAAACAGTATGAAGTGTCCTCAAAAAATTAAAAATGGAACTGCGTCATTACCCAGTGATTCCACTTCTGGGTATATATTCAAACAAATACAAAACACTAATTTGAAAGAATATATGCTCCCCTATGTTCAGGGCAGTGTTATTTACAATGGCCAGTATATGGAAGCACCCCAAGCACCTTATCAGTAGTTGAGTGGATAAAAAGTTGTGTTACATATATACAATGGACAAAAACTATATAATTCACTTATATATGGAATCTAAAGAGCAAAATAAATGAACAAACAAAATAAAAACATTGACTCATAGATAAAGAGATTAGACTGCTGGTTGCCAGAAGGCAGGGTTTTGGGGGGCTGGACAAATAAGGTAAAGGGTTAAGAAGTATGAATTGGTAGCTACAAATGTCATAGGGATATAAAGTCAACATAGGGAATGTAGTCAATACTACTGTAATAACTAGGTATGGTGCCAGGTGAGTACTGGAAATATGGAGGGGAACACTTTGTAAAATATTTGATTGTCTAACCACTATGCTGTACACCTGAAATTAATACACAATAATACTGACTGTGAACTGCATTGAAAGAATTGTAGATATAGATATAATATTTAAAAAGTGCCTGCTATATAATAAGTATTTGTTATTATCAGTAGGAATATGTTTCATTTTTAAAATGATGTCTCTAACTCACCAGAGGGATTGTGACACTCTGAAAACTGTGAATCTATATTTATATTTACATATTTATATATTTTTTATATAAATTTATAGTTTATTTATTTAATTTTATATATTTTATATTTTTATATTTATATATACTCCTTATATATATGAACTCCTTTAGTGTTTTCTTGCCTGGTAAGCTCTTTACCTGCCTTTTGATTCTAAATAATAGCTTTACTGTGTATATATACATATATATATATATGTATATATATATATATATAAGTATATATATTTAGCCTGGTTTCTGGTACATACTAAGGCTCTTAACCTGTTAGTAAGAAGAAATACCATCTTATCTTTGTATAGTGTTTTTTTTGCAGAATTCTTTTAAGTACATAGTTGCTAGTCATCTTCACAATAACTTTATCAGAAATAAATTTAACTTTCCTCTTGATCTATTTGAGTTTCATGTCACTGTGGTTTTACAAACAGTAGTATTTAATGATAATCACACCTCCCTATGGCTTTTATACCTTGATACCTAAAGCACTTTTTAAGTTTATTTTAAATTATTTTATGTGAAAGAGATTATTTTATTGCACAGATAAACAAACAGAACCAAGTCATCAAACATTTGTCCTAGATTATAAAATACAGTATCTCTACAATAGAATTTGTCTAATACAATAGACATTTTAGGGACAACTTCCAGAGCATATTTATTATTCAGTTCTAAAGATAACTAAAGACATGCCTATCCAAAGACACCTCATAATCTTTATGTTTTTCTAGTGCTTTTGGAGACATTAAAATAGTGGAAGTGAAGGGTTTATTTGTGAAGCTCATTAACTCTTCCATTGACAAAGAACTGGAAATTGGAAATCATATTCTCCAGCAAAATGTGAATGGACAAAAAGTATCTTTGTACCAATTCCCTCCAAATAACATAATGCAGGCCAATTCCACAGTGACCGTGAGTATTAGATACCGATACTATAAACTAAAATTGTACAGGGTAATCTCACTTACCCAGGTCAGAGTGTTGTGGCTCAGCACCAGTGGTTTCTTTATCACTAGATCTCTACATAAAATGTGATGTTTTGTTGGTGGTGGCTAACTGAACCACATTGTCCATTTCTGTGTATAAATTAATACCTATAATTAAATTTCCATACCTCTCTTCAATTTGTTGTACAATACCTTTTGTTTTATGATTTAACTAGTAAATTAAAATACTGAAGTTCCTAAAATTAAGCAAACATAATCCTTAAAAGAAAAGTAAAGGGATTCTTAGCCTAGAGGACTGATAATAAGTTGAAACTGGAGGGTCTTCCCTCTTGCTTGTGCTTTCTTTTAAACCGCAGAGTGTTACACAGCTTGACATTATGTATTACATAGTCATTATATTTTAAAACCGCATATGGTGAGCAAGATGACAATCACTCTCTGACTTTACAACATTGTTGAACTCTAATGATCTTGTTATTAACAAACTATTTCTCACAGGTCTGGACAGCAGCATCCCAAGGAAAGCATCAGCCACCATCAGATTTTCTTTGGAAGGAAGAAAACAAGTTTAGCACAAGCCCAAATTGTACAACAATTCTGTGCAAACCTAATGGTGAGGTCAGTATCTGGTTCTTAACAATAGTTTTTAAATGGATAGTCTCCTTGTGTTCCCCTTCTACCCTTAGCTCGCTCAATTATTTTTCTGTCCCTAAAATCTTGGATAGAACCATCTCTAACTGTCACAACAAATCAGCAACTCAACAACACCTTCTTCTCAGTGCCAAACTGCCTACAATCTAGCAAAAATAATTTTGATACCCCAAATTTGAAGCTACTCTACATTTCAGCATTAAGGATGAATTATATTTATGGTATTTAGCCTGAAAAGCAAGATAAGTAAGGAGGAAACTATTAGAGGCCCACTCTATTCATTTATGTATTTTACAAATGTTGATATTTTTCTCTATTTTTTTAAGGTCCACATGCCATTGTTTTTTGTTTTTTAAATTATATTTTATTGATTATACTATTACAGTTGTTCTGACTTTTCCTCCTTTGCCCCCCTCCACCCAGCACCCCCAACTCCCTCAGGCAATCCCCTCACCATTGTTCATGTCCATGGATCATGTGGGTAAGTTCTTTGGGAACCTCATTTCCTATACTGTACTTTACAGGCCCATGGCTACTCTGTAACTACCTATTTGTACTTCTTAATACCCTCACCTCTTCACCCATTCCCCCACATTCCCTCACATCTGGCAACCATCAAAATGCTCTCTGTATCCATGATTTTGTCTCTGTTCTCCTTGTTTGCTTAGTTTGTTTTTTAGATTCAATTGTTCACAGATATGTATTTATTGTCATTTTATTGTTCATAGTTTTGATCTTCTTTTACTTAAGTAAGTCCCTTTAACATTTCATATAATGGTTTGGTGATGATGAACTCCTTTAGTGTTTTCTTGCCTGGTAAGCTCTTTACCTGCGTTTTGATCTAAATAATAGCTTTAGTGGGTAGAGCAATCTTGGGTGTAGGCCCCTGCTTTTCATGACTTTGAATATTTCCTGCCAATCACTTCTAGGCTGCATAGTTTCTTTTGAGAAATCAGCTGACAGTCTTATGGAAACTCCCATGTAGGTAACTTCTTTTCTCTTGCTGCTTTCAAGGTTCTCTCTTTATCTTTAACCTTTGGCATTTTAATTATGATGTGTATTGAAGTGGACCTCTTTGCATCCATCTTGTTTTGGACGCTCTGTGCTTCCTGGACTCGCATGACTATTCCTTTACCAAATTAGGGAAGTTTTCTTTCATTATTTTTTTCAAATAGATTTCCAATTTCTTGCTCTTTCTCTTCTCCTTCTTGCACCTTTATGATGCAAATGCTGGACCTCTTGAAGTTGTCCCAGAGGCTGCTTATACTATCCTTGATTTTTTGGATTCTTTTTTTCTTGTTGTACTGACTTTTTTTTTTTTTTACTTCCTTATGTTCCAAATCATTGATTTGATTCTTAGCTTCATCCACTCTACCATTGTGTCCCTGTAAATTGCTCTTTATTTCAATTCATGTATCTTCATTTCTGACTGGATCTTTTTTATGCTGCTACAGTCCTTACTAAGTTCCTTGAGCATCCTTATAACGAGTGGTTTGATCTCTGCAACTAATAAATTGCTTATCTCCCTTTTGTTTAGTTCTTTTTCTGGAGTTTTGACCTGTTCTTTCATTTGGGCCATGTCTCCTTGTTTCCTCATTTTGACAGCCTCCCTATGTTTGTTTCTATGTATTAAGTATAGGTGCTTTGACTCTGTGTCTTGGTAGTGTGGCCTAATGTAGTAGGTATCCTGTAGGTTCCATCCTGTAGGTTCCAGTGACACAGCAAGTGGCTAACATGCTGAGGTCATGCAGCTTATGATTTTAAGAATTGGAAACAAGGCCAGGATGTCTTACCACATTTTTAGGGTTTTTCACTAAATGTAAGTGGCATTACACAGTTTGACTTTGAAATTTTATTGCAATAAACCTAGCCATTTTTTAAAAAATCAAACTCATATAGTATTTGATATTAATGAATTGTTTTTGTTAGGCCATTGCCTGGTATACCCCTATTCACTGGAAGCAAGCATGGGAGAAATTAGAGACTGACACTGAATTTGACGTATGCTCAGTATTAAATCGAACATCTCAAAAGCACTTGCTCCGCTGGCCAAAAGCCGTAACTACAACTGAAGAAAAACATCATGAACCTAAAGAAGATATCTCAAACTATCAGATAGAACCAGTTCCAGATTTTCTTAAGAGGTAAAATTTGCTTGATTTATATTTTTAACTGAGCCCTTCCAACAATTGGTAACTGAGCAGGCAGGAATGATTGGGTGACAAGTAAATATGTGATGAATAGATAAATCAGTAATGACCAAAAATATCTATTTTGAATATGACCATAAAACCCATAATATCTTTAAAACATAAAAACACAGAGCCAGCAGGGATATACTCATGGGACAATGAAGGCAGGTGATTTCTGCTAGGCAATGGAGGATTCCCCTCTGCCAGCCACCCCCGCCTCAGCCATTTCACCTCTTCATGGCACTGTTGTTAGTGGGGTGAAGAGATAAAGTTATCACCACATCTTTAGCAGTGCTGAGGTGAAAGGAGAGGTGTAGCATCTAGGAATTTTATCTTAGGTCAAGAGCTGGCTGTGGCTGAAGGTACAGGTTACTCATTTGTTATTGTTATGTTATTCGTGTGTAGGCAAATGCTTCTGATGTTGTAGTAAAAGTGCTTCCCACAAGGTGTAGAAAAGCCATATTTTCTGGTCTTAAAACATGCTCTCTCTACTATTGAGCCTTCATTCCTAACAGCACTGCATGAAATGCCTTTGAGTTTAATTTAGGCTTTTTTTTTTCCCAGAGAAAAAGACATCCTGCCAACTCTTTTCCCCAATAGCAGCCCTTGGTGCCACAGTCCCAATGTCCCTGCACATCCCTACTGTCCTCTGATTGAGCCTTACAATACCAGCATGGCTGGAAGCAGCTTAAATAGACAACCCAGGCCTTAGCCAGGCCTGAGTCAGCCTTGGTAAGTCAAATGGATACTTGTTCCAGCAGAAAGTGAGGTGTGTGCATATGTTTGTAGAAGAGGTAAAAAAGGGTTAAGTGGTAAAATACACTATTAAAAATTATTCATTTCCTCAAAAATAGATGGCTCCTTTAAAAAATAGATGGCTTCTAAAGGAATTGTTGTAAACCATTCACTTACATCTCTACCTCAGTGTCTTTTACTGTTTTTGATAAATATCTTTTGAATGAATTAATGAATCAAAAGGAGATACCAAAAACACCCCTGGCAGGTGGTTTAGTTGGTTGGAGCATTGTCTTGTACATCAAAAAATTTGTGGTCACTGGTACATACCTAGGTTGCAGGTTCAATCCTTGGTCCGAGTTTTGACAGGAAGCAACCAATCAATATTTCTCTCTCACATTGATGTTTCTCTCTCTCTCTCTTCCTTCCTCTATCTCTAAAATCAATAAAAACATACCCTTGGGTGAGGATTTAAGGGGAAAAAAAACAACAGCAAAACAGCGTGGCCAGCAAAAATACTTAGTTTATATTTTTCTTCACTTAATGATAGCCTTCACTATTTTACTCATTCTGGACAAGTTTTCCACAGAAATTTCACTTCAAGTTTTCTTTCTTTTAATGTTATTTTTCGGTTACAATTTACATTCAATATTATTTTGTATTCAAATTTTCTTGATTCACCTTTGTATAGTGGTGGCAACTCACCATAATTATTCAATAATTTTTGATATTCAACACAAGACGTGTATATCCTATAATTTATAATAGTAATCCAAAAAGATAGTTGCTTTGATACTTTCAGGGCCTCTTTTCTTCAATAAATACCTTTTTAATTTTATTTAATATATTTTTAATATGAACAGATATACATCAGAATTGTAAGAACTTTTCTTTCATTTAAACTGTGAAAGATGGCCTCAGAGACAGATATTAGGACCAAATGATGATTCATCGAATTCCAGCAATTTGTGAATCATCAGTTCATTTCTTTGAAAGGATGTGTAACATGATCTTCAAGGGAGAGTTACCTGGTTAATTATCCAGTCTCTTCTTACTTCTCCTACTATAGAACTATTTATTGTCATTAGCACACTTCTCAATAATAATTGATAAAGAAAAAAGAAATAAAACCAAAATCCATCAATTTTAGTCATAGTTTCTTCAATCCTGCTTCTTTCATCCTGCACTGATAATAGGCTAGTTTGCTGAGATACAGAAGAAAGAATCTAAGTTGCATGTGACTCTTCTGTCTGGATATAGTTGCCTTATTTTTAACTGTGCCTCTCAACTGTACTACAGAGGAACCTAGAAACTTGACTGTGAAGATAGTTTTAAAGAAACATATGTCTAATTTATACCAAGCACACTTGTGTTTTTAAAAATGTTAAAATACAGAAAGCATAGAGGATAATGTTAAAAACACCCATGTACTAATCACTCAAAATTAATGTTAACATTTTCTCATACTACCAAGAAAAGCCCTTTAATCTTCCTGTTGTTCCAATATAAAACTGGAATAACTCATTCTTGTCCTCATTTTTATATTTTAATTGTCTACATGTGGATCAATAAAATATGAGGTCTGTCCACAAGGTATCCAGGCATATAATATAAAAAATAGAGACATTTATTGAAGGAGATACACGATACAAGAAACATTGTACATAAGACATTGATGCCTCAGTCCCCTTCAAAGTAGGCACCTTGGGACCTCACTCAGTTCTCCCAGTCTCCATCAGCTGCCCCGTCACATTTTCCTGAATTAGATCAACAGTCTGAAATCTCTTTCTTTTCAAAGGTGATTTTTTAGTTTTGGGAAAAGCCAGATGTCACAAGGTGCCAAATGCAGGCAGTAGGGAGGCTGAGTCAGCTGGGTAGCTTGATGTTTCACCAAAAATCTCTGTACAAGACATGATGCCTGAGTGGGCGCATTGTTGTGATGAAGCTGCCAATGACCAGTTGTGCATAGCTGTGGGCTTCTGAATCATCTGAATAGTTTCTGTGGAGGAATGTTCAAGCTTAATGCAGAATTTGATACAGATTTGTTGCTCTACTCACTCAGTCATTTTGAATGCAATGGCCACACAGTACACATGCGTACTCACCAGTGTCTACCACCCCCACTGATGAGTACAGTGAAGTTATCATTGTTCACACATGGGCATTCCAGTCCACACTCCTTGGCTTCCAGGTTACATCAATGACACACAAACCATTCTTTTCATATTAGTAATGGCTGGACTTTATCTGGACAGACATTGTGTATATAGTATAATTGATGTGTTTTTAATCAAATAAATGGCAATAAATAGAGCACATGGCACATAATAGTTTTTAAACACGTTTGATGAAGGATAGAGAAGGAGATGCTGAAGGTTTTTAAGCAGGCATCTTATAGAGTTATATCTGTATTTTAAAGCAAATTTTGAAGCAGTGTTGAAAATGAGGTGGAGTAGGAGGCAATCCAAAATCTAGGAGGAAAGAAAGAAGGAGGGGTAAAATAGGAGAGGAGAGAAAATGAAAGGAAGACCAAAACATGTTTGGAAAAGAGGTTGAGGACAAGTTGCTTCTGTAGAATTGTAACTTGAGTTCCAAAGGACAGGGGAAAGAGGTATTGAGGCAGAGGTAATATTTAAGGAAATATTGACAAAAATTTTCAAAAATTGACAAAAGACATCAAGCCATAGAATAAAGAAGAATAAGTCTCAGGGAGCATGAATCCAAAGGAAACCACACTAATGTATTTTACAATAAAAATTCAGAAAACCAAATAACAGAAATCAGAAGACAATGGAATGGTATCTTCAATGTGCTAATGTGCTTAGAGAACTACTGTCCTAGAGTTCTGTACTAATCAAAAATATGCTTCAAGAAGTGAAGGTGAAATAAATAGATTTTTCAGGCAAATGAAAGCTAATAGAATTCATCAACAACAAAGACACACTAAAGAAATATTTCAAGTAGAAAGAAACTGGTCCTAGAGAGATGTACAGAGTCAAAACATGGATAAACATAAATGAATAGTTACTATACAAAATAATACTAATATTCTCTTGCAGGGTTTAAAATTTAGAATTTAAATTCATGACAACTGTATTAGTTTCCTGGGGCTACTGTGATAAAGTAGCTAAAACTTGGTGACTTAAAACAACAAAAGTATACTCTCTCATGGTTCTGGAGACCAGAAGTCTGAAATCAAGGTGTCAGCAGAGCCACCCTCTTTCTCTAGAGGATTACCCTTTCTTGCCTCTTCTTAGTTTCTGGGTGTTGCCAGCACTCCTTAGTGTTTCTTGGTTTGTAGATGCATCACTATAATCTCTACCTCCATCTTCACATGGCCTTCTCTCTTCTGTGTGTCCATATTTCCCACTTTTTATAAAGACCCCAGTCATAGTGAATTAGGGCCCACCCTAATTTACTATGATCTCATCTTAACTTGATTACATCTGGAAAGACCCTATTTCCAAATAAGGTCACATTCACTGTTTCAAGGGGTTAAGACTACAAACTATGTATTTGGAGGACACAATTTAAACCATAAGAGCAGCAATAGCACAAAGGTTGGGAGGGGAGTAAATGGAGTTAAAGTACTCAAAATGTCACAATTTTTCCAATAATTTGCAAAAGTAACAATTAGTATTAGACTTTAGTAAATCAAGGATATGCATATGAAATCTAGGATAGACACTAAAAAATAGTATACAAATGTCATATTCATGATATATATCATACCTTCATTATCATTCAGTACAAAATATATTCTAATTTCTATCTTCTTTGATACATGGGTGCTTTGGGCATAATATATCATGAAAAAGTGGGTTTATTTCAGGAATGCAAAGTTGGTTTAAGCTTTGAAAATTAATTAAACTTACCACCATAACAGAAGAAAAAGGAAAATTATATAACTGTCTCAATAGATACAGAAAAAGCATTTGATGAAATTTAATACCCACCCATAAAGAGAGAACCTTAGAAAATTAGTATTTGAAAAAAATGTCCTTAATCTGATCAATGGTATCTACAAAAATACTAAAATAAACTATCATATTTAATGGTGAAATAATGAACATTTTCTCCTTGAGATCCAAATAAGGACAACAATTCTCTATATAATAATGTCTATTCAGCATTGTACTAGAATTCTGAGGGAAATGAGGCAAGAAAAATGAATATACAAATATTCTCTTACTCCAAAATCCAGCAATTTTATTCCCAGGAATTATATATATCTAAAAAATATGTATGTATGTATATATATATATATATACACACCAAAAGACAAATGCAATAATGACCATAGCAACTGTCTTTGTAATAGCCAAAAACTAGAAACAATCCAATTATTGATGACAGTACAATAGATAAATAAATTATGATATACTAGTACAATCCCATAAACAATGAAAATGAACTACTGCTACATGCAGTAACATCAATGAGTCTTAAAAGCACAATGTTGAGTAAAAGATGCCAAACAAAAAGGACTGCATATTATATGTTTCTATTTATGTAAAATTCAAAAGCATATAAAACCATGGTGTTAAAGGTGAGAATAGTAGTTATCTCTGGGAGAAAGAAGGAAGTAGCCTTTGGAAGTTACACAAAAACTGCTTCTAGAACACTGACAATGTTTCATTTCTTAATCTGGATGGTGTTTACATGAATCACTGTATTCATCGTGCTGTGTAATTATGACTTGTGATCTTTTCTGCATCTATGTTATACTTAAGTAAAACCTTATTTTTAGAGACTTGATGACAAGAAAAGAAAAATTAGAAAAGGAAGACAGCACAGTTATAGTAATGAGCACTGACAGCTTATACCCTGAAAAGGAAGGAAAAAGAAAACCTAAAAAAATAGATGAATGAACTCAAAATGATTATTAATATGAGGCTTCTTTGTCATAGGAGAAAAATAGTTCTACCTGAAATAAATCTAAGCCTATCATTATATTGCAATGCATTGGAAATCAAT